GAAATTGCAGTGCATACGACAATATAGATGAAACTTGAAGATATTTTTCTCAGTGAAATAAGCCAGACACAAAGGACAGATATTTACACGCAGTCCCTAGAATAGTCAGATGTATAGAGATAAAAAGTAGGGTGGTGGTTGTTAAGGGCTGGAGGAGAGGAATGGACACAGAGCTTCAATGTGGGATGATGAAGAGGCTCTGAAGATGGAGGGTGACGATGGTTGTACAACAGTGTACTTAATGCCACTTAATTGTATACTTAAAATGGTTGAAATGATCAATTTTATGTTATGTATGCTAAACCCAAAAACACAGTCTTATAAAATACTGATAATTACTCCCAGATGCTTCTCAGAATCACGTTCGTTGTACGCAGAATGCAAGGAGGGGCCTTCCTTGTTGGACACCTGCTGTGCCCCCATGTCCAGGCTACACACAGCACTCATTTACACAACCCCCCTGCCCAGCAGGTTGCATCCATCGTTCTGCAAATGGTGAGTCAGACTCACTGGGCTAGGTCTCTGGCCAGGGACACACAGCTGGCATGAAGAAACACCGGGATTAAACCCCAGGGCTGTCTGGTCTCCAGGGATAATGTCTGTGGTTAGACTTTGCAACATTAAACCGGAGACTACTGCTTCAAATTAATAATACCTGCCTCAAATTAGTACCACTTGGGGAGACACTTCAGGTCTTTGACCTCCACTTATGTGGGTAAAAACAAGTTAGGACAGAGGGTGAATAACCTCCTGACAGCGGTGAAGGCCACAGGGCAACACGGCAGTGGGCCGGGCCTCTGAGCCTGTGTGCACTCAGACAGAAGTGCAGCAGAAGCCTTGACGGGTGGACATAGGCAGGGTGTGGCTGATGGATGACCAGGGCATACCTCCTAAAAAAATGTTCCCTGTATTCCAACATTGTCTTCACAAAGAAAACTGAGACGAAGAAAAGAAGATGCATACATGCTAAGTCACTTCAGTCGTGTCTGACTCTGTATGACCCTATGGACTGTAGCCCACCAGGCTCCTCTGTCCATGGGATTCTCCAGGGCAGGATACTGGAGTGAGCTGCCGTGCCCTCCTCCAGGAAAAAAAGGATGGTGTTAAGACAAAACTTTTACAGTGCCAAAAAGACTCTGCAGCTGAGCTTGATTAATCACTCTGCTTTTAAAAAGAAAGCATACTCCACCTTTGCATGGAATATGAAACTTAGCCTGGTCTCGGGCTGATTTTTCATGTTCATGTGACAATCTGAAGCTGCCCAAGAGAGTGATCTTAGGGGAAAAGAAGAGGATGTAGGTGAAGATATCTGAACTGGCTGCACTACCACTTGAGGTGGTGACTGTGAGGTCACTGTGTCCTGCTCTGGAGCTTCTCCATCTGTGACATGGGGGCTGTGCATTGATTTCATAGGATTATTCTGAAGGACAGATGAATCCAGGTGTCTGAGAAGGCTTGTTAGCTGTAAACTGTCAAACCAACGTTCATAGTCATTACTAGTTATTGTTTGTTATTAGTGATGCAGTGGCTCAGTGGTAAAGAATCCTCCTGCAATGCAGGAGTCACAGGAGATGCAGGTTTCACCCCTGGGTCAGAAAGAGCCCCTCGAGGAGGGCATGGCAACCCACTCCAGTTTTCTTGCCTGGAGAATCCCATGGACAGAGGAGCCTGGTGGGCTACAGTCCATGGGGTCGCGAAGAGTCGGACACGACTGAAGTGACTTAGTGCACACACTCGTGCATTAGTAATGTGAATATTATTAAGCAGGGATACTTCACAAATATCTGAAGCTGCCCCTATTTCCAGATTTCATTTACGTGCATTCATTGGCTTAGCCAGTTTTTACCGCATGCCTACTATGTGTCACCATTGAAAAGCTCTTGGATTCAAAAAGGGAAGCCTGCCTTTCCAGCAGGTCCTTTCCAGATGCTGATAAGCCACAGTTCCCCATCACTGCACAGCATAGCAGAGAGTAGGGCCAACTGGCAATCACAAATAAAACCACAGCCTCATGGGCAGCCCTTCAGGGTTGCCAGCCAAGTTGAGGGTGACCACCCCCTACTCAGGGGTGTCACACTAAACAGTACTAAGGAGACAGGGCACTCCTAATGACCCTGTTTCCTGAGTACTGGGGAGCAATCCTTTTTAATGACCGCTGTAGCATCTCAGAGGCAGGTGACAGAACGGCAGAAAAGCCATGGACTTCTGTCTGTGTCCCTCGCTGGCTGCAGGCCCGTGGCCGATTTCTTCACTCCTCTGGACTTCAGTTCCCTAGATGATAATGTCCATCTCTTGAAGGGGTGTTCTGCAGATTTTGTGAGAGGATGTGTCCGAAGAATCTAACTGTGCTTGGCGTGTATACATGTTTCTCTGCTCTTACTTCAGGCCTCTCCTCCCTCCCCCTGCACCATAGCTGTACTTATTTTTCCCAGGCTATTCAAAGCTGCTTTCATGCTATCAGAGGTACGCATCTTTTTTTTAATCACAGTATAGTTGATTCACCAACTTCCCTAGTAGCTCTGTTGGTAAAGAATCTGCCTGCAGCGCAGGAGACGCGGGTTCAATTCCTGGGTTGGGAAGATCCCCTGGAGAAGGAAATGGCAACCCACTTCAGTATTCTTGCCTGGAAAATCCCATGGGCAGAGGAGCCTGGCAGACTACAGCCATGGGGTCACAAGAGCTGGACACGGCTGAGCGACTAAACCACCACCACGTTGATTCACAGGGTTATGTTAGTTTTAGGTATATAACATGGCGATTCAGTGTTTTTGTAGATTATACTTCATTATAGTTTTCTACAAGATAATGGCTATAATTCTCTGCGCTATACAGTATATTCTTGTTGCTTATCCGTTTTATATATAGTAGTTAGCGTGTTAATCCTACACCCCTAATTAGCCCCTCCCTCCTCGCCTTTCCCCCGTGGTAACTACAAGTTTGCTTTCTATGTCTCTGAGTCTGTTTCTGTTTTGCATATACATTTATTTGTATTATTTTTTAGATTCCACATACAAGTGATATTGTTAATATATAATGTTTGTCCTTCTCTGTCTTATTTCACTAAGCAAAGTATTCTCTAGGTGCATCCATGTTACTGCAGATGGCAGCATCTCATTCGTTATGGCTGAATACTATTCCATTGTATATGTGTGTGTTATATGTATATATGTGCACCCCCCCACACACACACCATCCTAACCCAGTCATCTGTTGATGGGCCCTTGGGCTGTTCCTTGTCTTCCTTATTGTAAATAGTGCTGCTGAGAACGTTGAGGTGCATGTATCCTTTCAAATTAACGTTTCCATTCTTTTCAGATATATACCCAGGGGTGGAATTGCTAGGTCATATGGTAGTTCTGTTTTTAGTTTCCTGAGGCACCTCCAGACTGTTTTCCACAGTGGCCACACCAGTTTACACTCCCAGCAGCAGTGCACTAGGGTTCCCTTTTTCCCACGTCCAGAGGGACACATCTTAAGATCCAGGGTGACTTTCTCCTTGAAGTAAAATGATGGACAGGTTTCTCACATTTCCCACCACTGTGGGAGGCTCAGGACTCGCTTTTCTTCTCCTTGAGTCCTGGGCCTGCACACTCATCAGACTGGGTTGAGGTAGTCTGCTCTGAGACATAGGGGACAGACGCATGGACACAGCGGGTGGGAGGAGGGGGGGAGAACTGAGTGGTGCTGACGTGTACGCACGGCCACACGTGGAGCAGGCGGTGAACAGCGGCTGGACGGCACGGGAGCTCATCTCAGTGCTCCGTGATGCCCCGGGGCGGGGGAGGCGACTCCAGAGGGCTGGGATGTATGTGTGCATAGAGCTGATTCACTTCACGGCAACAGAAACTGACACCTTATAAAGCAGTTCTATCCAGCCACCAGGGTTTACCTCTCACTCGGGAAATAAAGGCCGTCCATAGAGGCTGCTGGGCGCTCTGGGCCCTCCCTCTAGGCCCCTTGCTGACAGAAAAGCCACACTCTGACCATGGTTGTCGCATGGCGGGCAGAACTGAGGAGGGATGAGTCAAGTGCCACTCCTAGCTCTCCTGCCCCAGAGTGAGCCATGTCCCTTCTGCTCACCTTGAATTTGCCACATCTCATTTCAGGGGCGTGGGGAGGTAGGAATCTACCACGTGCTGAAAGGAAGAACCAGAAATCTGGAGACAGCATTGATGACCACCACATCCCAGCTTTAATCTGGAAAGCAATGCTGGCAGTGGGTACTGCTCTGGTCAACTAAGGATGAGGCGCAAGATATGTCACTTTCCCGATCACAAATAAGAGATCCTGATGATTTTGTGTATCCGATCAGATACTTCACATTAATTCCTTAAAATATCACAGATGCGTTTGCTGTTATCAGAAGATATGAGAGGTTTTGTTTGGGGTGTTCCGTCCCTCTTCTTCGTCTGTGCCCACAGCAGCCTGTACTGCCTCTCAAGGTGCCTCCTACCCCACCCTTCAATGATCAATTTACTTTTCAGTCTCTGCCTAGACTCTGAGTCTCTTCATTGCTGCACCCCACGTGCCTGACTCGGAGCTAGGAACAAAGCTGAGCCAGCCGGGCAATTCTTCCTGTGGCAGGAGTGTGTCATGACCTCACAGGTGGAGGACCTAACCAGATTAATTGAGTCTCCATGGTTTGTTCCTGAGTATCACCCAGCAGTTCTTAGAAAACAGGATGACCTGCCATCCGTGGAATTTTGGGGGCTCTAGTGGGTGTTGTTCACGATTCAGGCCCTGTGACTAGAGCCGCGGGAAAACTGAATTGGTCCCTCCCAGCCCTGAGCTTTCGCCAGGCCGCTAGCTATGGGTCTAGAGAACTGTTTGCATGGAGATCCTCTGTCTGGTTGCCTTTGTCTTCCGTTAGTTTGGGTTTCTGGAACGCTGAACGAAGTGAGCTTTTCTCTATCAAATCATGTACTTCACTTAATTCCTATAAACTGTCAGAGATGCTTTAATCATTTAAAGGCTTTCATTTTGTTATTCTTCCCATTTAGATGCAGATGTTGGACAAATTTCCCATGGAAGGAGGACAGAAGGACCCCAAACAGCGGATCATCCCCTTTCTCCCCGGTAAGCGGGACGCATGCTCTCAGATGAGGCCTCGAGGCTCTCATACAGCTCTTGGATCGCTCCCTCTTTGTCCCTGTCCATTGTCCCAGTGACCAGTAGAACTCAGTGCCTAAGAATATGGGTTTTGGAGTTAGGTGCTACACCATTTACTAGCTGCATGACCTTAGGTAAGACACTTCACCTCTGAGATCCTCAGTTTCTCCCATCTCTGGGAGTAGGGACTTCCCTGACGGTCCAGCGGTTAAGACTGTATGCTTCCACTGCAGGAGGCATGGGTTCGATCCCTGGTTGGGGGACTAAGATGCCACATGCCACGTGGCAAGGCCTCCCAAAATAAATTAATAATAAAAGGAATAATTCGAGCTCATGTAGTCTGTGTAATGAGTGGCATCTATTTTAATGGCTACTGTATTTGTTTTCTGTTGTGTATAACAGATTACTACCCATTTAGCAGCTTAAAATGACACCCATTTATTATCTCGCAGCTCTGCTGGTCTGAAATCCAGGCAGGTTCAGCCGGCTTCTCTGTTTAGCATTTTAAAAGACCAAAGTCAGGGTCTTGACTGGGCTGGCCGCTTACCTGGAGGATTTAGGGAAGAATCCCTCCCAGCCTCACTCAGGTTGTTGGCAGAACTCGGTTCCTCACATCTCTAGAACCTAGATGCCTGTTTCCTTCCTGGCTGTCCACTGGGAACTCAGCTTCCAGAGGCTGCCTGTATTCCTCATCCACCTTCAGGTTGGCAACAGGGCATTGAATCTCTCCTGGGCTTGGAATCTCTCTGACTTCCCCCACCTGCCACCAATGGGGAAAGTTGTCTGCATTTAAAGCCTCATGGGATTACCTTGTACCCACTTGGCTAATCCAGGATAATCTCCTTCTCTTGAAATGAACTGAGGCATATCATGTAACGTGATCCCAGGAGTGAGATCCCACTGTGTTGACAGGTGCTGAGATTAAGAAGAGACATCTTTGGGAGCCATTTAAGAAATCCTGCCTGGCTGCCCGCCTGCCACAGCCACCAAGCACCTTTTAAGGGCCAGGCTTAATGCAGCCATCGCTGGTCTCTGCTCTCAGAACATCCCCCCCAAAGAGGTCTTACCAAAGAAATAGCATCAGGGCTTCAACTCAAAAAAAATGAGCTACTCAAACCAGTGTTATAGCTTCCAGTAATAATAGCTACCATTTATTCGATGTCTGCTGTGGGCCAGTCACTGGGCTAAGTGCTTTCATTAGTTCGTTTAGTCCTTAGAACAACCCAGCAGGGCAGACATTACTATGCCCACTTCGCAGATGAGGAAATGAAGACTGAGAGAAATTATGATCACTTGCACAAATGGCAGAGCTGGGATTCAGACACAGGTATGGCAGGCTCTAAAATGTATGCCTAAAGTCAGATACCGCAGGCCCAAATCCCAGTGTCCCTAATCATCCACTCTGTTCTCTTGGGTAAGTTACCTAAGCTCACAGTTTCATTTCTACACTTGCACATTGGAGATCATAATGCTACATAGATGATAAAGTTGTTTTGAGGATTAGGTAAGTGCCTGGTGTGTAATTAGCAACAAGTAAGCACTTACTGCTACCTTTCTGTACAGATAATCAGCAAATTGACAATCACCCTAAATCACAAATATTTGGCCCTTAAGTCTTTTTCATTTTGAGGGGGCAGTGGGGCAAGCCCCAAGATGGGGAGACTCTGAGTCAGCCAGGAGCTCATTCTCCCCTCTCCCACTCCAAGATTCTATCACTTTATCACTGTGTTCTTTCAAATACTGTCATTGTTGAGTGGGTTTAGAGACAGGGTAGATGTGTTTGCTAGGCCCCCATTTACTGGGAGCGTCGTTTACCTAAAAAAGTTAATGTTTTTAGTTCTTCCACAGGGAAGGAACACTGGAATGTTTTCCTCTATTGGAGATAACCCAGTGTGCCGGCTGCAGGAGTCAAATCTCAGTGCCCAGAGCACTTGCCCTGGAGTCCAGCAGACCAAGTCCTGTGGCCTCAAGCAGACACCTCCCGCCACCGAGCCTCAGCTTCCTCTTCTGTAAAATGGAATAGTGACCCCTGCTTCATAAGCTCCTCTCCCTGGCACATAGAAGGTTCTCAGTAAAGGCAGAAACAGGGTCCGGGGACATTCATTTGGAATTTCTGGGTATTTCGTATCATGGAATCCTGCTTAAGTGATCCATCTGGATATTCAAGTTGAAATGGGCTCTAAATGTATATTTTCTTCAAGACAGGAAAGGAAAGCCGTGAGTTAGAGCTCTGCTGGATGAAAGGCAAAGCCAGCTCTGGAAAAACTTCCCAGAACAGGGAAGAACTTGAGCCGACCCTCTCCCCAGCCCCTGAAAGCTTTCGTGGTTACGTAATCCTCTTCCACCCACGAGTGCATGGAGGTGCAGTTCTCAGGGACTCGGCTCCATTGGCCTGCTCAGGAGACCCACTTGCAGCTTGGAGAGACCCCGCTGGGCTCCGGGGTCCCTGGAGCATCCTTCCAGGCCACCTCTGAGCTTTTCCTCGAGGCCAAGGCCAGGGGCAGGGACGGGTGGGAGGAACATCTCCCCCTCCGAGGGGTCAGTTTTCTGCCAAGACTGCCGCGTCAGCAGAACAAAAGCAAGTTTCTTGTTAGCACAAAGGCGGGGGAGGGGAGGGGAGAACAGGCCTGTGCAATTTTCCATCCCAGCAAGAGCTGGGGAAAGCCAACTTGGCAGAGGATGTGGCTTGAAAAATAAGAATTACAGTTTGGCCTTCCTCCACTATGGAAAACAAAAGCTTGCTCGTTCCCACCAAAGGCTCTTCTCTCCTATGAGGACCCTTTCCATTCCAGCAAGTCTGGCCTGCCGGGGAGGGCTGGGTGCAGGCTCACTTGCCCTCCTTCCTCACAACTCGCACAGAAACACAGGCCGGGGATGCAGCCCCACCAGCCTTTCGCCCAGAGGCACCTGCCAAGTGGGTGCTGGCCCCACAGTGCTGCCCCCCAGCCTGAGCGGTACTCCAGCTCCGCTGGGGATAAGTGATGAGGGAGCCTGTCGGTGACAGGTCTTAAGAAACCAAGTTGGGAGTTGGAGAAAAGACGTGTGCCCTTCCTAGTGGAGTGTCAGGCAGGTCCTATAACCTTTCTTGTTGTTTTAAGTAATTACCTTTTTTAAGCACCTAGCAAGGGCCAAGCCCAGGGCCGGAGTGTCTTGGAGATCACTAAGACATGGGGCGGTTCTCCCTTTTTGCAGATGAAGAGACTGAGGCTTCAACAGGTAAATGCATTTCCCAAGGCAGTGCAGGAAGGAAGAGGACCCCCTGGGATTGGCCCGGGGCGCCCTGCTCATCACCCCAGAGCCTCTGCGTGTCTCCCTGCACACGCTAATCCTGCCGCGGGGCTTCCTGCCCGCTATGTTGACATGAGCCCAGAGACTGTCCCACTAAGGCCACACGGGGAAAAGGAGAGACACTGCTGTGTCGCACCCCCAGGAGACGCTGGAGGCGCTGAGGTCCCGGTCCTCTCCCAGCCCCTGCAGGCCAGGCAGCACGCAGGTCCTCTCGGGAGGTGGTCTCTGCTGTTCCAGGGCCGGGGCTAGCACCACGCCCGCTGTAAAGATTTCGAGTCTGGTCACAGCCTTCTCAGTCAGCCTGTACACCCCACTCTGCCCACTTCCTCTGATTTTACAGAAGGGGAAATTATACCAAACCGAGACCAAAATGTTTTTGATACGGACTCCTCCTCCCATTTTGAGAATTGGATTAGAGGCAGGAAGCGTTTGGCCCGTGGAATTTCTCTTCACAGGCATGCTTTTCTTTTTTTTTTTTTAAAGGCTTGGGACTCTCCTAGAGATCTTGGGAGATCTTGGGAATCTCCTAGAGATTCTGACCACAGGTGGTCCCACCCGTGAGGACGGTAATTTGGTTATCACGGTGACTGGGGCTGGGATGGGAACGGGAAGGCCAGCGGCCTCCTCCGGATTGGAGGCCAAGGATGCAAACCCCCTGCAGCACAGAGACCGTGTCCCCTCCCGGGAAACAGCGGCTGCCCAGTGTTGAGAAGGCAGGCCCCCAGCGCCCTGCACACGTGGGGCTCACACGCAGCCTGCGCCTCGGGAGTCAGTGAGAGGGTGCCGTCAGTTCCAGGGAGGCCAGGTTGTAAACCCCTTCCCACTTCCCTGCGTAATTTCCTTGTTTCATTTTAAATGACATGAACGTTTTTGATTCCAGAAGTAATCAATGTTTAGGGTAGGGACTTTGGGGAAAGTATAAAGAAGAATACAAGAAGGCTTTGTCTTCCACCCTCAGATACAAGCACTTTCCTCTGTGGTGCATTTTCCTATAGATTTTTTTCTCTCTTCTAACAGGCGTGGTATATCAGAAATTTGACTGATTCATCGGAATTAAACCCATCACCACTATAAAGAAAGGAGAGCTTTGTTATTAAGGAATATTGATTTCATCTCCTTGTGGGTTTTTTTTTTTCCTGGTGGGTTTTTTTTAATTGATGGAAATGAGCAAAAATGGATGACTGTTAGGTTGACCATATCTACCTAATTTCCTGATTGTGCCCTTTTGCCCAAGAGCAAGTTGTCCGATTATTTTACATGTGACATTAAGCATATGGCCTCTTTGGGTGCAAATCTCCTGACCACCTTGGATTGCAAATCTTCAAAAGTCAAGAGGCTGTTTCCCATTATCCCTTCCGATTCTGTCCTATGACGAAATTCTTTGTTGACCTTTCCTGCCGTCTTGTTCCTGCTCACCCAAGCGTGACCCAGGCAGGCAGCAGCCCCCCAGTGCCGTCTCTCCTCTCCCTGCCAGTTTTGTAACCCAAATTTGTCTCCATGACCTACCTCCTCGGACCAGGAGTAGGTGAAGTTTTCAGTAGGTCTCCGCGTTCTGCTGTCTGGAGGGCTGTGGCCCACCCATGCCGTCCTCTGGAGACCCCCGGTTGGCCTGCATAAGCGTGGCATGGGGCTTGTCCACGGCTCCCCCCGGCCCTCCTTGCTGTCTTATTTCTGGTTTTGCCTGCCCCCTGTCTGTGTGGTGTGGCCACACTGCCTGGATCTTCAGCGCTTGAGCCTTGCCACCATCTCCCCGTGAGAAGTGGCAGATCAGAGGAAACCCACTGATTTGCTTGAAACAAACCTCACCTGTAACATTTCAGCCTCTTGGATATTTCCCAAGGCCCTTGGTGACACCATTTATATACTTGCCTTTGCCCGTGACCCACATCCTTTGCCTCTATGTCACATTGGAGGCTCTGGTATCACACCCCAGCACTCAGGTGTCAGCAGGCAAGCAGTGAGTGGACCTTCTGTTAGTGTTCAGTGGGGGGAGGCGTGGAGCCTCTGTGACCACAGTGACTGGGGAAGGGATCGGAGGGATTTGCTGTCTTGGCAGGAAGAGTCCACCTTCATACGTGGATCAGACATGAGTGAGCACCATGTGGCAGGGGCACAGAAGTGACTAAAACCCAGTCAGTCCCTATTTGGGCAGAGCCCCATGACTAGTAGGAAGGAAGAAGAACATGCAAATCATCGGTGTGATGTGTACAATAAGAAAGAGACGGGAACTCTTTTTTCTTTTTTATTAAAGTGTGGTTGATTTAAAATGTGTTAGTTTCTACTCTGCAGAGAGTGACTCAGTTGTATATACTTTTTCATATTCTTTTCCATTGTAGTTTATCATAGGATATTGACTGTAGTTCCCTGTGCTAACAGTAGGACCTTGCTGTTTATCCATCCTGTATGCACTGGCCTGCTCTGCTAACCCCAAACTCCCAACCCACCCCCGCCCCTTGGCAACCACGTCTGTTCCGAAAGACACAGGAACTCATAGCCCGTGTGAAGTGGGCAAGAGTTTCCCAGCAGGGGTGGTGGGCGAGGTTGGGTGGGAAAGGTATTCCAGGAAGAGGGAAAGGCACCGCATTACGAGAGAGCACAGCACGCCAGGGAAACGTCAGGTGAGAGCAGGAAATATACAGAGAAAGAGGAGGGAAGGAGGCTGAGCTGTGGGGTGAGGGCATATCTGAGTGTTCACGGAACTGCTCACGGTCTGAGAATGTTATATTTAGACAGGGGACCTCTAATCATCAGGTCTTCCTTCCTCGCTGCCAGTCTCCCTTATCTCACCAAAACTTAACCACTAAGTCCCACTCTGTCAGACCCTTGTACTAGAGCTGTGAACAGGGTTTTGGGGGACCAGGCATGGGGTCATCCAAACCCTGTGGATGAGCAGCAGTGGGTATTGATGGCAGCCAGGAATTTAGGGACCACTTCCCAGACGGTGCAGTGGTAAAGAATCCGCCTGCCAGTTCAGGAGACCCAAGAGACAAGGGTTCGATCCCTAGGTCGGGAAGATCCCCTGGAGTAGGAAATGGCAACCCACTCAAGTACTCTTGCCTAGAAAAATCCATGGACAGAGGAGCCTGATGGGCTACAGTCCATGGGGCCCCAAAGAGCCAGACGTGACCAAGCACACACACGCAAGCATACCAGAGGCAGCCACGTCCTCATCCTCCCAAGCTGCCAAGAGCTGGTCACCGCTGCCTCTCAACACTGTGTGCACTCTTGTCCTCCGCAGGCAAAATTCTCTTCCGACGAAGCCACATTCGGGACGTGGCCGTCAAACGCCTGATACCAATAGATGAATACTGTAAGGTAAGTCTGAGAAATCCCAATACTTCCCTGTGTCTCGTCTTCCCCCTGGATAGTTTTTTTTTCCCCCTTCTCTTTTTCTGACTAAATGATGCCCATTGTGAAAGATCTGTACAGGTGAAAGAAATGTAAAGAAGTTAGAAAAACCAATCACCCGTGACCCTTCAACGCAAACGCAACAGTCATGAAGGTTTTCACATAATTCCTTTCTTTTTGTGTGCCTTTCATTATGACGTTGAGACCATCCCATATGTGTTATTTTTGTAGCTCTTTCTCTTTTCTTTTGCATTATAAGAATTTCCCATGCTATTAAAAAAATCTGGAACCTGCTTTTAGCGGCTTCATAGTATTCCATTGTGCGTGAATGTTCTAGAAGTTATTCAGCCAACTCCTGTTGTTGGACAGTGCAGCTGGCTTCCAGTCCCTTGAATGTTCTCAACCACGTGGAGCCTGTCTGCCTTTTGCTTTTATTTTGTTTGATTTGAGGTTGTGGTTGCGAAAGAAGCTTATTTTTCTTTTATTTAGCTTCCTTAATCTTTAGTGTTTGTTTCTCTAACTCATAATCACTAGCAGTTTGATTGAGGAAGGGTGGGAATAGTGAAAACTGCCTTAAAAATGGAGCGGTGACTGCTTTCTCCCCCTAAGCTCAGGAACAAAGCAAGTGTGTTTGCTCTCTCCTCCTCTGTTCTGTGTTTGCCTGGAGACTGTGGCTGGTGTAAGCAGGCGAGAAAAAGAAATACAGATAATACGGATTAGAAAGGAAGAAGTAGGGGTTTCCCTGGCGGTCCAGTGGTAGGAAGTCCACACTTCCAGTGCTTAAGCTCAAGCCCTGATCAGGAAACTAGGATCCCACATGCTGTGCGGCATGGCCAACTAAAAGGAAGAAAGAAGTAAAACTGCCGTGATTCACAGATGACATGATTCTACTCTAAAAAACCATAAAGCCTGCAGAAACTAATAAATGAACTTAGTTAGGCTACAGGACAAATATTAAAAACTCAATCGTATTTCTATATACTAGAAGTGAAAGTGCCAAAAATGAAATTAAGAAAATAATTCCACTCACAATAACATCAAAAAGAATGGAGTAATTAGGAATAAACTTATTAAAAGAAATATACAGTTTATACACTGTAACTGCAAAACATTGTTGAGAGAAATTAAAGAAACTAACTTAGTGAAGAGACATTCCATACTCACGGATTGGAAGACTCGATAGTGTTAAAATGGCAGTTCTCCCCCAATTGATCTACAGAGTCAATTGGTATAAACTCTGCCACAGTCTTAGTAGGCTTTTTTGTGGAAATGAGCAAGCTGATCCTAAAGTATATGGGGAAGTACAAAGGGTTCAGAATAGCCAAAACAGTTTTGAAAAAAAGAAAAAGAACAAAATTGTACTACCCATTTTCCAAACTTCTTATGAAGCCGCAGTAATCAAGATGGTGATACTGGTATAAGGAGAGGTACATGGACTAGTGGAAGAGAATTGAGTCTATAAGTAAACTCTTCAGATTTATACTCAGTTGATTTTCAACACAAATACCAAGAAATTCAATAGGCAAGGGTAGTATAGTCTTTTTAACAAATGATGGGATCATGGGATATTCATATGCAAAACAAATTTTTTTAAATTAAATTGGACCCTGACCTTACACACATGCTTAAAAAATCAAGTCAAAAGCTCAAGCTCAAGTCAAAATGGATCATAGACCTAGACATAAAATTAAAACTATAAAACTTCTAGAAGAAAACATAGAAGAGAATCTTCATGACCTTGGTTTAGGCCAAGAGTTCATAGATACAGAACCAAAAGAGAAGAATTGATACACTGGACTTCGTTAAACTTATACATTTCTGTGCTTCAAAAGATGCCATGAAGGAAAGGAAAAGACATGCCACAGATTAGGAGAAAATATTTGTAAATCATATATCTGAGAAGGGACTTGTGTTACGACTATATAAAGAGCTCTTACAACTTCACGATAAAAAGACAACCAGCTTAAGGCTTTCTTGGTGGTCCAGTGGTTGGGACTCCAAGCTTCCACTGCACGGGGCACAGGTTCAGTCCCTGGTCAGGGAACTAAGATTCCTTATGCCATGCAGCATGGTCAAAAAAATTAAATGAATACGCATATAAATAAGTAAATAGTTTTTTTTTTTAAGGCAGCCAGTTTAACAATAGACAAAAGATTGAATAGAAACTTCATCCATGAAGACATATGATGCTTATTAAGCACATGAAAAGTTGTTCAACATCATGAGTCATTAGGGCAAGATGAAATAAAATCATCATAAGATGCCAACACAGCGCCCCAAATGCCTGTAATCAACAAGGCACAAGAGAAAAAGTTGGTGAGGATGTGCAGCAATGAGCTCCTCATTCTGTTAGGCATGTGGCCGCATCACATGGCAAGTGGGATCTTAGTTCCCCAACCAGGGATCAAACCCACACCCCCTGCATTGGAAGCACACAGTTTCAACGCCCAGATGGCCAGTGACATATGAAGGAATCTACTTTGGAAAACAGTTTTGGCAGTTTCTTCCAAAGTAAAATTTACCACCCAACTACTCTCCGGTATATACTCACAAGAAGTGAACACATCTATCCACACAGAGACTTGAACGCAGTTGTTCATCATAGCATTAATTCATAATAGCCCCAGAGTGGAAGCAACCTCTATGTCTATCATCTGGTGAATAGATAAAGAAAATGTTCAATAGGCATTCAATAGAATATTATTAGACAGTGCAGTGCTGATCAGTGCTGCAAAATGAATGAATCTCAAAAACATGATGCTATGCGAAAGAAGCCAAATGCAAAAGGCTACATATTGTATGATTCCATTTACATGAAATGTGCAGAAAAGGCAGATTTAGAGAAAGCAGGTCAGTGGTTTCCTGGGCCTTGGGGTGGTGAAAATGGAGATTGACTGCAGATGAGGTTGGGGGAATTTTTGAGGTGATGGAAAAGTTCTAAAACTAGAATGTGGTGATGATTGCCCAACTCTATAATTTGAATTTGAATCATTGAATTGTACATTTATAATGGGTGAATTTTATGGTGCATAAATTTTACTTCAGTAAGTATTGAAAATTTGAAGGGGGACAGTGTGGGGACAGATGCCTTCTCTCTTGGCAGGAGATGTCACGAAAGGGCAGAAAATCACTTCTCACTTTGCATCTGCTGTTTATCAGAGATGACCTCGTTTTGTCCCTGCAGTAACTTTGAGGAGGAGGTTTTCTCTTTCTTTTTGTGTTGATGAGAAAATGGAGACCCAGTAAAGTTACTTGCAGTAACAGTATTGGAGGCTTTGAGAGTTAAACCCGAGCCTTTTAGGACTTAGCACTCACATACCACTTATCGCCTCTCTAAGAAAGTGATGGCCCCCTGATGCAAAGAGCTGACTCATTGGAAACGATCCTGATGCTGGGAAAAATTGAGGGCAGGAGAAGGAGATGACAGAGGACAAGACAGTTGAATGGCATCACCGACTCAATGGACATGAGTTTGAGCAAACTCAGGGAGATGGTGAAAGACAGGGAAGCCTGGCGTGCTGCAGTCCATGGGTTCACAAAGAGTTGGACACAAATGAGCAGCTGAACAATAACAACAAGAAAGTACAAATTCAAGAGGCCGAAATAGCTAAGCTCATGTTTCATAGAAATAGACTTTTCCCTCTCCTAAGGAGGCCTTTAAAAGGGATGAGGGGCAGGGCCAGTCTCTCAGGCACAAAGAAACCACTCCTGCCTCCCCGATCTCAGAGGAAATTTCAGATCTTCCTCTCTTTGTCCTTTTCCAAATCTCTAGAGCCTGAAATTCCTCTGTCCAGGCCCTGCTGGCAGAAACTTCGTACTCTGGAGTCATCTTAGCCAACTGGAAAGTTCCCCCTGGTACCTTCGCAGAAAGTGTTGTCTCTCAGCCCATACACATTCTCCCACTTCTTCCCCAGCCCAGCCAACTTCTCTCCAGAGTCACACCTTCCCCTCAAACCCGGGGTTCCCTGAACCCCTAGACACTTGATTTGGAAGAGGAGGTATAAAATCCTGGAGGAGTAAGGGACAGCAGCAGCTGCCTGCATCTGCTCTGCTTGGAGCAGTCCAGAGATCATGAATTGACCTGGATTAACCATAGGGGAGAAACTGCTTATGTTATATGAGCCACGTGGAAGTTACCACCCCAGCTATTAATGCAGTGTAAGAAGCAGAGCAGATATTTGGGGGGTTTGGTTGGCCAGATTCCCTGAACTTGGCTTCAAGGAAACTGTCCTCCTGGAAGGAGATGAAACTTTATGCCTTGTATCACAAGGCCTGTGAAGTCTTTTAGAGACTGCGTAGACCTTTATGTAACATTTGGGCTCTGTTATTGACATCGTTGTGAGCTGACTTAAGCCAATTTGATCTATCTCTGTTTTAGCATTATTTTGGTAGAAATTGGGCAGTTTCCAACAGATGAAGATAGAAGAGGGCTGTAGATGTCCCTATAACTACCTACCAGCTAGGAAGTAACTTGCTGCTCTATCAGGCCTATTATAAAGCTTCTGTGATTACCATAATATGCCATCAGCACAAGGATAGACTAACCCTTGCAACAGAATAGAGAACCCAAAAACAGATCCGTGTATATTTGGACACTTTGATACTAACAAAAGCAGCTTTGTAAGATCTTTGAGGAAAGGTAGGATTCCTCAGAAAATGGATGTCTGTATTGGAAAAAACAAAAAGGATAACTAACTCCTGCCTCACACTACACATATAATCATTTCCAAGTACATTGAAGACTTAAATGTAAGAGGCAATTATAAAAGGTTTTGGAAAATAAAAATAGAAAAATTCCTCATAATCTCAAGGTATCGAGGGACTTCTAAAGACACAAAAAGTTCCAAGTGTAAAACGATTGAGTTATCAGACTACGTGAAGTTCAAGAACTTCTGTTCATCAAAAGACACAATGAAAACAAAACTCAGCCAAATCCTTCCTCACACACAAGCATTTGTTATCAAGCA